GATGAGTGTTTCAGGATTATTATAGTTCTGTGGGGAAATGGAGGAAGGAGTTTACAAGTGAAACTTCCTGAATTTTGCCTTTAACCATCTCTGCTGTTTTTTCCCACCTAGAAAATCTGCTTTATCTCTGCCCTCTTTCTTTTTTTTTTTTTTTCTGCGGTACGAGGGCCTCTCACTGTTGTGGCCTCTTCCGTTGCGGAGCACAGGCTCTGGATGCACAGGCTCAGCGGCCATGGCTCACGGGCCCAGCCGCTCCGCGGCATGTGGGATCTTCCCGGACCGGGGCACGAACCCGTGTCCCCTGCATCGGCAGGCGGACTCTCAACCACTGTGCCACCACAGAAGCCCTCTGCCCTCTGCCCTCTTTCTTCCTTCCCACAGACCTCACTCCTCAGAGCCTTCTCCAGCAGTGCTGGCTCTCAAGATCCTCTGTTAGAGAAATGAAAACTGGAAAACTAGCCTCACAGCAAATCAACACAGAGTTCACTGGCCAAGCCTAAGCATGTGTGGTTCCTCAAGCCTGGTTTTGGGGAGTGCTTATATGCCCTGCCACATTTGCTTCTCTCTCTCTCTCTGATATGGGGTCTGATTTACATATTTCTTAGCTTTTCAAAGACTCTTGGCCATCTCTGTGGTTAGCCACACCTTGGGAAGAAAAGGGAAAAAAGATCAAATTGATAAGAAGTGCAGTTTATCCCTGAAAGCATAGCCTGGTCATGAGTGCTGCCCATAAGTAAATAGATAACACATCCCGGTCCTTGTGAGGCCAGAGAAAGAGGCAGGGGGGAGGCAGGAGGAACTGAACTTGGCTTAGAGGCAGGGTGAGTTCCATTGCCAGTTACAAGACTTTTGGCTGGTTGACTGACTTATATTTACTCCTCATTGGCATAATGGAGATAAAAATATATAGCATCTCTTAGTTCATTTGTGTTGTGATAAAAAATAAAAATCGTAAAATCCTTGGCAAATGAAGTACTAGAGAATAAAGCAACAAATGGTTCTACCACGTTTTGGATGTGTCCTAAGAGCCAGGACACCATGGCTTCTTTACTTCTTTACTTTTCTTTTGTTAACAGCTTTATTGTGATAATTTACATACCATACAATTCACCGATTTAAAGTATAGCATAATGTCTTCAAGGTTCATCCATGTTGTAGCATTTTTGTTGACAAACTACACTTCATTGTATAAATATACCTCATTTTATTTATTCACTCATCAATGGACACGTGTGTTGTTTCCATTTTTTGACTGTAATGAATAATGCTGCTATGACTGTCTGTATACAAGTTTTTATGGGTGTATGTTTTCATTTCTCTTGCATATACACCTAGGAATGGAATTGCTGGGTCACATGACAACTCTGTATTTTAACAGAGGAAACGGCAAGACTTTTTTCCAAAGTGGCTGGACCATTTTCTATTCCCACCAGCAATGTATGTGCGTTCCAATTTCTCCACATCCTTACCTGTGTTTGCTGTTGTTCACCTTTTTTATTATAGCCATCCTAGTGAGTGTGAAGAATGATTTCAAGGGTAGGTTCTGGTTCAGTTTGTTTGGTTTCAACTCCCACCCTTCCTGAATATATGGACTTAAGCTAGTTTACTTAAACTCACCAAGCTTCAATTTCATTATCTCAGTCACCCACCCTCTAGTACTCAAAGGTACTATCTATTAAATGCTTGCTAAGCGCCATACCAGGGGTATGAAACTTGGTTGGCATAAAATCCTCCAGGCTCTTTGTATTCTGCCATGAGATTAGAAGTGGTCTCTAAGGTAGGACATTTAGAAAAGAGGGGGTGCTGAAAACAGATCCCCATTACGCATCCACAACTGGAGGACTAAGTTGGAAGAGGATCCAGCAAAGGAGTCGGAAAGGAAGTATTGATGAGGTGGGCGAACCAAAGGGAAAAAAATCCTTTCTGTCCAGAGAGCTCAGGAAGCCCATGTAATTTGAACTCAGGAGACTGAGAAGCCTGGATGGGTCGAGTCCATCTGTAGATCCATCCTTTGTCATCTGTCAGTCAGTTTCATCACTTAACATATGTACCAATTCCCATTGTACCTCACCTCAAAACCAGGAACCTCTGGACACAGGAGGTGCTCTTTGTGACCCTCCAGTTCCTGGCCATTCTGCTTTTAACACTTCCGCTCCTGGCAACCCCTTCTCTTAGCAGTGGACACATTCCAGTTTCCCCCTTTTCATTCTCCTCCCAGCCTCACCAGAAGCACAAACCCTCAGAGTGACTCCCCCTTATTCCCTTGGATATCTCCTTAGTTATTGTCTTAAAAGCTAAAGATTCCCTAGACCGGTACCTTTTAAGCTCTAATGTTCCAATGACTCACCTGGGGATTTTGTAAAAGCACAGATCCTGACTGAGTAGGTCTGGAGTGCTACTTGAGGTTCTGCATTTCTGATAAATTTCCAGCTGATACTGATGCCGCTGATTCATGGACCACTCTGAGTAGCACATGTCTAGACCCTAGATTGTTAGCTTCTCAACTTGGGGATTCAGATTTTAAAAGATGTATTGACAAATAAGACAGCCTCTGGGGCAATTGCGAGGTGGTGAGGGTCTGTCTGGAAACTAGGTCTTTTGAGGAGATTGGAGCAACTTAGAAAGTTTGGTGAAGGGAAAGGCAACTAAAGAGAATCAGAAGCCAGGTGAGATAGCTTCTCCAAATATTTGTGAGAGTAAGCTTGCTGGTGTTGCCCTAGAGGGTGGGAGAAGGGACCAGCAAATCCAGATCAGCGTGTCTCAAAGTGTATTTCTTGAATGCACATTCCCGCAAGATGATAGGTGAGAAGGTAGCACTGGTACATAAGTGCAGACTGTGCACAACCCCGAACCTCCTTTCCAAAGGTTCACGGTGCACATTAAAGCCTCTGACAAGTCCTGCAGGAAAGGAAGTGGCCTGAATTGATGTATAGTCAAGTGTTCCCTTCACTCACTTTACCAAAAAACCATGTTTTCCCTATAACGCTATTACTATTATTCAGAGCTGGTGTTCTTTGTGAGATGGAGAAGGGCTGCTTTGTGTCATTAGCATGAGAATCTGACGTAGGCTGGGAGGAAACCTCTGGAGAAAGCTCTGTGAGAACCTGGCATCTGACTATATACCTTAAGCTTCAGGAGGTACTTCATTCTAGTCAAATGACTAGATCAGTGGTTTTCAGACTTTAAGGTGGAGCACAACATTTAAAAGTAAAATCCCAATATAAAATACATTGGTAAAAAGAGGCTTAGCTGGACTTGGGGCCGCTGGCCTGGCCCCTCTTTGTTTGGCCTTCCCCGGGGCATTTTCTGCACCCCTGGGACAGAAAATGCAAGGTCTCCTCTGAGTGGAGAGAGGGCTGGACAAGCAGGGAGATGTCCCTAACACTCTAACATCCTTCCTGTGGCTCAATTTCTGCCTTTTCTTTTAGACGGATGTTCCCGGTCCTAAAGATTAGTGTCACGGGGCTGGACCCCAATGCCATGTACTCGCTCTTGCTGGACTTTGTCCCAACGGACAGTCACCGCTGGAAGTACGTCAATGGGGAATGGGTGCCCGCGGGCAAGCCAGAGGTCTCCAGCCACAGCTGTGTCTACATCCACCCGGACTCCCCCAACTTCGGGGCCCACTGGATGAAGGCGCCCATCTCCTTCAGCAAAGTGAAGCTGACCAACAAGCTCAACGGAGGTGGGCAGGTACGACTGTTGCCCGGCCACCCTAACCCCACTACACCAATCAAGAAATTTCAAGGGTGCATTTAGGCAATTAGGGGGTCCTCACCGACCTCTTCTCTCACGGAAGCCAATTATTCCCCGGAGTCCAAATGTGAACAGGAATAAACAGCTCTTAATTGGTGCTTTCAGTTTTTAATGGACTTCCTGATGTTAAGAGAGAGTGAGAGAGCGCAGTAGTTTACTTAATCATCACTGGGCGGCCTTTCAGAGTTTTGTCTTGTGTGTGGTGCTTTTTACCCAGCTGGGGAGGAGGGAGATGTTTGTGGGTACCAGGGTTTTGTTATTCCCTCTCCCCTCTTTTTGGTGTAAGTGGCATGTTGGCAAGAGACAACTACCTTAATAAAAAGCTGCTCCGAAATGAAATAATTGCTCCCTCCACTTGGGCATTGTGATAATTATCAATAGAATATTGAATCAGCTTTGGGTTTTCAGAAAAAAGTATCCAAACAAACCTTAAATAAGGAAGGTTTTATTTAAGGTCTCCAATTAGAGTAAACAAGATTTTGAGGCTTTTTATTCTTTCGTTTCCTCTGGTAGGATTGTGAACACTAGTGTGCTGTACAAGGTTGTTATTTGCTTTATAAAATGTAGACTGTTTTGGGGGATTAGAGACACAGCCGGGAGGAAGAGGTCTCATTCCCCCAGATTTCCCTTTGGTCAGCCTCTTAGCCCTCAGAGTTTTCACCCCTTCTCTGATCCCTGTGCTTACCTAGCTGGGACATAGGGGTTCTTGTTTTAAGAGCAGAAGTCATCCACCTAAGTCTTTGCAATATTCAGAAGGTTCCAGTTATTTATTAAAACAGGAAATTGAAAAGTAAACTATTATTCCCCCCCCCCAGATTTCACAACATGAGATTTTCAATAAACCTCTGGTTTGAATCACAAAGGGTGGACTTTATGTAGCCAGCAGATGTCAGCTGTCATTATACTTTAGGTAATGCAGCCCGTGTCAGGATTTTGAGATATTAGGATTCTTTATAGGAAGAAAAACAGTATGTTTTAACAGAGCAAAATCCACATCATTGTGCTGAAAATGGGAGAGAAAAAAAAGGAAGCCAGGATTTTGGCAGAAAACTGAACACTCTTTAGACCAGCTCTTCCCTGGCAACCCACCCCTCACCCTCCTATAAGCAGCTCCAAAGTTATGCTCCCTGAGAGCTTCTAAAAAATGTCCCCACAGTAATTTCTCAGAGAGGTGGAGGCAGCTCAGGCAACTGGGGATTCGGTGTGTGTACCCTTAACCGAGGTGGGTGCTGAGCTTGGGACTAACCAAAGACGCTGGGTCATCTGTCACTTGTGCTGCCCCAGGCTTTGCATGTCCTCTCTCTCCTTCCACCTCAACAGATAATGTTGAATTCTCTGCATAAATATGAACCCCAGGTTCACATAGTGCGTGTTGGAGGTGCCCATCGAATGGTGATGAACTGCTCCTTCCCTGAAACCCAGTTCATAGCTGTGACTGCCTATCAGAACGAGGAGGTGAGTGTGTGTGTGTGTGTGTGTGTGTGTGTGTGTGTGTGTGTGTGTGTGTGTGTGTGTGTGTGTGTGTGTGTGTAGATGTCACCTGGGAGAATGTGGTAGGACTGGGTGGTGGTGCTTTTATTGCCATGACCAAGCTTGGATGAAAGGTAGGTTTTCCAGGACTCAGATACACTCAGCAGAGATGAAGTTAAACAGTGCGGTAGTCGCTTTCCACACCCTCCTCCTTGTTTGCCAAAGGCCCGCCAGTGCTTCTTTTCCTGGTGCCAATAAGGCACAGCTGTGCATTGTAATACAATTAGCAGAAACGCAGAAGTCTTTGTTTCCAGGCCCTTGGCCTACAAAGAGCTGCGTGTCTCTCCTATTTTAAAGCAATTCTGTGGGAATTGATCCAATCGCGCACCTTCTTTGGGTTTGTGTTATGCTATCTGTCCCATTTGTTAGCTTTTTTGGGGCACACGTAGGTCTTTTCCTGCTTAACTTGAGCCACTCTGGTGGTTAGAGCAGAGTAGCCAGAATCTGGTCTCCGTGAACTCTGTGGGAGCAGGATTTTTTGGTCCATCCACATACTTTAGGAGTTTCCAGGCCTGCTGGTCACCAGGACACCTGATGGGTTGGATTCTTTTTGATTAAACTTAAAAATTTGTTTCACTGGAGTATAGTTGATTTACAATGTTGTTAATTTCTACTCTACAGCAAAGTGATTCAGTTATACATATACATTCTTTTTTATATTCTTTTCCATTATGGTTTATCTCAGCATATTGAACATAGTTCCCTGTGCTCTACAGTAGGACCTTGTTGTTTATCCATTCTATATGTAATAGTTTGCATCTAACCCCAAACTCCCAGTCTATTCCTCCCCCACCCCTAAACATTTTTTTTTTTTTTTTTTTTTTGCGGTACGCGGGCCCCTCACTGCCGTGGCCTCTCCCGTTGTGGAGCACAGGCTCCGGACGCGCAGGCCCAGCGGCCATGGCTCACGGGCCCAGCCGCTCCGCGGCATGTGGGATCTTCCCGGACTGGGCCGCGAACCCGTGTCCCCTGCATCGGCAGGCGGACTCTCAACCACTGCGCCACCAGGGAAGCCCTATTTGGAAGCTTTAAAAGATTTTTGGCATCCCACCCAGCCAACTGAGTCAGAATCTCCAGTGACGGTGCCCAGAATCTGTAGTTTTAAGAGTCCCCTTAAAGGATTCTGATAAACATCCAGGTTTGGAAACTGCTGCCTTAGTGCCTACAGGTGAAATTAGTTGCAGATTTAACTCACTATAGATGCGCAGGGAAATGTAATTTCTCTTCTATAGGTAATCTGGCCTCTTAGCTGAGCCCCTCTAGCAGGTCAGTGGGAAGAGAAATTAAATACCTGATAATTTAAATAGGCCCTCAAGTACTGTTCAGTTTTTATAGGCTGAACCACTTTGTTCATCAGATTGCCCTCCTCCCTCTGCTACTCTCTGTAGGATGGAGTCTGGGTCTATGAGGGGAGGGTGGGCTTTTGCGATTTCGGAAAGTAGGGAGGAGTTGGGGACCCCATCCTGGCCTCCTCTGGCCTCCGGGCAATGCCCCTTATCCACTTACATGCTGCCTGCTCTCTTAGTGCGTGGCTGGTGGAACCTGTCATCTGGTTGCCCTCTGGGTAAGTGCTCAGAAGCTTTTCCTAGACATGGGCTGGACAGTTCCCTCTGAACTACAAGCAGGGCTAAGGCCACACCTCCAGCAAGCTACCAGCCTGATGCTGTAATTCTGGTCTTGAACATGCCTCAGGGGAATCAAGCTCAGGAAAATCTAACCTCAGAGCTTCCGTCTCCTGATGACGCATCCCTGCCAATTTGATGTAGATGCACCCTGAGAGGAGAGTGGCCACAGGGGTGGATAAGGGAGCCAAAATCTTCCTTTATTCAGCAAATACTTGCTGAGTATTACTACATGCTGGTAATACTGCACTGTCCTCAAGGCACTTAAATCCCAGTGGGGAGAGATGAAAACCAAACATATATATATATTTGGTCAGATGGCTCTGAAGAAAAATGAAGCAGGCTAAGGCCAGGGGGGATAAAGAGTGACAGTGGTTGGAAGTGATAGTTTGTTTTTTGTGTTAACATGGCCCAAAGGGTAAGTGATTATTTAAGAGTTAGGGAGTTGATACTAGTCTGTACTCAAGACTCTGGAGGCAGGTTCTCACCTGTACAACTCTCCTCTGTGTCTCAGTGACTGGAAAACTAACTGACAGATGGTAGGTGTTCAATTGTTGTTGAAAAGAATGAATGAGTAATGGAATGAATGCTGGGTTTGGCACATAAGGCTTGTGCATGTCTAATGCTTTGTCCTTTCTTTGCTCACTTTATACTATATTTGGCATTTTTACCACAAGTGACAATAAAACGTTTCTTGTTGGACAGTGCAATAGTGATTTTGTGCAGAAGTAAGCAAAGAAACATGGAAAGGGAGAAAAAAAGAGAAAGGAGAATTATTCTGATTTTACAGAAATTCACAGGTGAAGATAAAGGGTTCTGTCTGCCCGTGCATGTTCTACTTTCACTAACACTTCTTGTCTTTGTAAACACAAGATAACAGCTCTCAAAATCAAGTACAACCCTTTTGCCAAAGCCTTCTTGGATGCTAAGGAAAGGTGAGTAGAGAAATTTCAGTGAAATCTTATGATTTCTGTAAATGTGAAATTTATAATCATCTTAAAAGGAACTAACTAGTAGCACTTGCATTACCTTTGATAGAAGCATGTTTTTAATATTCAGTTCAATGTCCAACAAAATCAGCAAAATAGAACAAACTCATAATTACCTGTCCCTTATAATATGGGTCCAGGAGATCCCGGAACTGGCCATGTTTCATTAGCCCTGTTTTACTACAGATTCTTACAAGTAGTACAATCCCATTAAAAAAAATAAATGATTTAAATTTTTAATAATTCACTCTGTCTTTCCTACAATTATCTGAATAATATGATTTCAATAAGTTTTTTTTAAAAAAACTAGATTTCACCTAGGAAAGGTGAGTAATTCATATGAGATATTCGTAAAGGTGAGAGGCTCATGTCTTTCAGGTCTGAGAGAAGAGAAGTCAGAGACTTTTGGGGGTGTGAATGATTTCCTTTGAAGTGTTCAGATTTTATTGTCTGTTTCAAATCTTTACACTAGCTCCTATAACTGTCTAATTTTTCCTTTTCATCTTAAAGGCTCTAGATTAATAGATATTTACAGTGATGTGTCACAGGGGTCTGTGCTGTCAATACTTGATTTAATTTTGACGATGTAGAAGAAATAAGTTTTTCAGATAAGAAAAGTAGTATAATAAAAAAAAATTAGGACTTTGAGTGAGAGATCGTAGCTTTGAGTCCTGGCTTTGCCATTTCCTGGCTTGCATAAGTCAGTTTACTTTTCTGGGACCCATTTTTTAAATCTGCGAAATGGGCACAGTAATACTCTCTCACAGGATCATTGGCGGATCTAGCGTATCACAGATGTGATTGTGCCCTGAAGTCCTATGCAAATCTTAGCTATTGTTATTGTTGCTTGAATTTTGTCAGCAGGAGCACTGATCACAAATCAGTAAGATCGAGCTAAATAGGGATAGGTGTAAATAAGGTAAACTGGAGTGACTATAAAATTGCAATTCAAATAGCAATTGCACAAGTAGATAAAGTAGGAGAAGGATATTGTGGGAAAGATAATAGCTTTGAGGGAAAAAAAGGTGTTTGATTTTCTTATTGCAAGAAATGTATTGCTCTCCGAAGAGAATCTTGGGTGTACTTGATACTAGACTTGTATAATAAGCTGGACAGCCGTGGTGCACTCTCATTGCTCTTTCAGGAACCACCTCAAAGACGTTCCGGAAGCTATGTCTGAGAGCCAGCATGTGGCCTATTCTCACTGTGAGTTGGGTGAACACTGGGTGGGAGAGGCCTGGGGCTACACAAGGAGCATCTCCACCGCACTCGGAATTTTTACCTCTCATGACTGCTTCAGGCTTGTTCCAAATCTTCTATCAAGACCCAACAGGTTATTTCTTCCACTCAAGACAAGTATATTCCCTTGCAAGAATTCCCAGAGAGAACCAGTGCTCATGGGGGGCTTACTCAAATCCTAGGCAGGAGAGAAGAATGGAAATAGTAAATTTCTTAGACTCTCGTTTTTGTGTCAGTGTGGCTAAAGAGCTCATAAAAATGCATTCTGGGTGTACCTCCTACCCTTACACTCCGCTCTCGCCTCTCTGTTTTGGATTTCCCTTGTTCTTAGTGCTTGCTAGTTTTCGAGTTGGTCACTGTTGCAATGCCTCAGGAAGGCCATCGCTTTGCATATGAGGAAGTTTCTACATTTGTTGACTGGAAAGCTGCAGTATTAGTGGAGTAATATACCTGGGATTCTGCAGGTAGGTTGGATGTTCCTGACGGGGTGCCACTCTCTCCATGTCTCAGATCAGAGAGAAGGTCCCATGGTGGAGCAGGTCCTCTAAACCTGCAACAGTAACACACAGTCAGTGGCATCAGTGTCTGAGATACTCTTTAATTTAGATGATAGTGGCTTGCTAGGATTCCTTCTGCAGTTTTCCAGCTATGGTATTCCTCACTCTCTCCTTCCCCTAAACCTCAGTGCATTTTTCATTGCAGAAGTGGCAGTATAGCCACATGAAGAGAAGCAGCTCTCAGAAAAGCATTTAAAAAAACTTTTCTCAGGAGTCTTTTTTTTTTTTTTGTCTAGTTACCATCTGTCACCATAGAAAATTATTACAGTATTATTGACTATATTCCCTATGCTGTACATTTCATCCTCATGACTCATTTGTGACTGGAAGTTTGTACCTCCTAATCTCCCTCACCTATTTATTTCCTCCCCACCCCCCTCTTCTCTGGTAACCACCTGTTTGTTCTCTGTATCTATGAGTCCGTTCTGCTTTGTTATGTTTGCTCATTTATTTTGTTTTTTAGATTCCACGTGTAAGTGAAATCATATGGTATTTAACTTTTTTAATCTGACTTATTTCACTTAGCATAATACCCTGTAGGTCCTTCCATGTTGTTGCAAGATTTCATTCTTTTTTATGGCTGAGTAATATTTCATTATATCTCTATCTATCTATCTATAGATATAGATAGTTCTAGATATATCTATATCTGTATCTCTTCTTTATCCATTCATCTCTTGATGGTCACTTAAGTTGCTTCCATATCTTAGCTATTGTAAATAATGCTGCAATGAACATAAGGGTGCATATATCTTTTCCAATTAGTGTTTTCGTTTTCCTTGGAAAAATACTGAGAAGTGGAATTGCTGGATTGTACAGTAGTTCTATTTTTAATTTTTTAACTTAATTTTTTAAAAAAATATTTATTTGGCTGTATCAGGTCTTAGTTATGGCACACAGGATCTTCGCTGTAGCATGCAGGATCTTTCATTGTGGCACACAGGCTTCTCTCTAGCTGTGACATGCAGGCTGTAGGGTGTGCGGGCTCAGCAGTTGTGGTGCATGAGCTTAGTTGCCCTGCGGCATGTGGGATCTTAGTTCCCCAACCAGGGATTGAACCCACGTCCGCTGCATTGGAGGGTGGATTCTTAACCACTGGACCACCAGGGAAGTCCCTATTTTTAATTTTTTGAGGAAACTCCATACTATTTTCCATAGTGGCTATACCAGTTTACATTCCTGCCAACCACTCACAAGGGTTCCATTTTCTCCACATTCTCACAAACGCTTATTATTTTTTTGAAAATAGCCATTCTGACAGGTGTGAGCTAATATCTCATTGTGGTTTTGATTTGCATTAATCTGATAATTAATGATGTTGAGCATCTTTTCATGTGTCTGTTGCCCATCTGTAGGTCTGCTTTGGAAAAATGTCACTTCAGTTCCTCTTCCAATTTTTCAGTTGGCTTGTTTGCTTTTTTGATGATTAGTTGTATGAGTTCTTTGTATATTTTGGATATTAACCAGATATATAATTTTCAAATATCTTCTCTCATTCAGTAGGTGGCCTTTTTGTTTTTTCTCTGTGCAAAGGCTTTTTAGCTTGATGTAGTCTCATTTGTTTATTTTTGCTTTTGTTTCCCTTTCCTGAGAAGACAGATCCAAAAAAAAATATATATATATATATTGCTAAGACCGATGTCAAAAGAGTTTACTGCCTATGTTTTTTCCTATGAATTTTATGCTTTCAGGCCTTCCATTTAAGTCTTTAATCCATTTTGAGTTTATTTTTGTATATGATATGAGAAAGTAGTCCAGTTTGATTCTTTTTCATGTAGCTGTCTAGTTTTCCCAGCACCACTTTTTGAAAAGGCTATCTTTTCCCCATTGTATATTCTTGCCTCTTTTGTCATAGATTAATTGATCATGTAAGTGTAGGTTTATTTCTGGGCTCTCTATTCTGTTTCATTGATGTATGTGTCTGTTTTTGTGCCAGTGCCATACTGTTTTGATTATTGTAGCTTTGCAGTTTAGTTTGAAATCAGGGAGCATGATACCTCCAGCTTTGTTCTTCTTTCTCAAGATTGCTTTGGCTATTCAAGGTCTTTTGTGTTTCCATAAAAATTTTAGAATTATTTGTTTTAGTTCTGTGAAAATTATCTTTGGTATTTTGACAGGGATTGCACTGAATCTGTAGATTGCCTTGGGTTGCATGGTCATTTTAACAATATTAATTACTTCAATCCATGAACATGGTGTGTCTTTCCATTTGTTTGTGTTTTCTTCACTATCTTTCATCAGTGTCTTACAATTTTCCAAGTACAGGTCTTTTACCTCCTTGGTTAGATTTATTCCTAGATATTTTATTCTTTTTGATACAATTATAAATGGGATTGTTTTCTTTATTTCTCTTTCTGATAGTTCATTGTTAGTGTATAGAAATAACAGATTTCAGTATATTATTTTTGTATCCGGCAACTGTACTGAATTCATTTATTAGTTCTAGTAATTTTTTGGTGGTGTCTTTAGAATTTTCATTATATAGTATCATCTGCAAACAGTGACAGTTTTACTTCTTCCTTTCAAATTTGGATTCCTTTTATTTCTTTTTCTGGTCTGATTGCTGTGGCTATGGACTTCCAATAATATGGTGAATAAAAGTGGCAAGGGTGGGCACACTTGTCTTGTTCCTGATCTTAGAGAAAATGCTTTCAGCTTTTCATCATTGAGTATGATGTTAGCTGTGGGCTTGTCAATATATGGTCTTAATATGTTGAGGTATGTTCCCACTATGCCCACTTTGTTAAAAGTTATTATCATAAATGGATGTTATATTTTGTCAAAAGCTTTTTTTTTTTACCTCTATGCAGATGATCATATGATTTTTATTTTTCAGTTTATTAATGTGTATCACATTCATTGATGTATAGATATCAAACCATCCTTGCATCTCTGGGATAAATCCTACTTGATCATGATATATAATCCTTTTTATATACTGTTGAATTTAGTTTGCTAATTTTTTGGAGCATTTTTACATCTATGTTCATCAGAGATATTGGCCTGTAATTTTGTTTTTCCCTTTTTGTTTTGTTTTATAATTTTCTTGTTTGTGGTGCTTTTGTCTGGTTTTGGTATCAGGGTGATGCTGGACTCATAGAATGAGTTCAGAAGCATTCCTTCCTCTTCAGCTTTTGGGATAGTTGAGAAGGATAGGTGTTAACTTTTTAAAATATTTGGTAGAATTAAACTGTAAAGTGGTCTGGTCCTGGACTTTTGTTTGTTGGGAGTTTTTTGATTACTGATTCAATTTCATTACTGGTAATCAATTTGTTCATATTTTCTATTTCTTCCTGATTCAGTCTTGGGAGATTGTACATTTCTAGAAATTTATCCATAGAAAAAGCACTTTTTAAGTGACCTGGAATAAAAAGCATTTTTGTATAGGATAGGATCACATGTGGAACCATACCTTTTCAAAGTTCATATGTTGCAGTCTTCTTAGTAAGCTTCTTAAGGTATATACCTTATATGCGGCAAACTACATGGACAAAAGTCCAGTTCTGTGGGACCACTTGCCTAGCTTTGCTCACTGGACACCTGAATCTTGATCTATTGTTCAGGTAGGGATCCCTTGGGCCACGTGTCTATACAAAAATGAGAAAATGAAGATAACAAAAGGATTTGTTGAGAATGACTGACATACATTTTGTAATATGAATTCTGTACAATTTGCTTACTTATACTTAAAAAGTATTAAGCAAATGGTTTTTAATAAAAGTTCCATTTCCATATTACTGAAGCCCTGGTGACAATCCCTAGTCAATATTCTTAAGGAACATCTCTGGTGTGTCTGAATCCTTATCTGTGGGCCCCTCAGTTGAGAGCTAGTTGGTGAAAGTATGTGCTTCTTGTTCCAGGGCCTGTATTACTAAGTCTCAATCTTTTCCCATGAATTCACTTGAAGTAGAGCCTTCTATTCAGAATGTTCACTAAATTTTTTTATTGTGGCAAAAAACCATGACATAAAATGCACCCTCACAACAATTTCCACATGTACAGTGTAATATTGTTAACCACAGGCACATTTTAGTGCAACAGATTCCCAGAACCACCTGCCCGCCCCCCGCCCCCATTCCTGCATGACTGAAACTACATATATTCACCAAACTACATCTCTTCATATCTCCCGCTCCACAAAGCCCCTGGCTACCACTGTTCTACTTTCTATCTCTATTTGCATATCCTTTAGATACCTAGTGTAAGAGGAATCATGCAATATTTGTTTTTTTGTGACTGGCTTCTTTTGCTTAGCCTAATGTCCCTCAAGGCTCATCCATGTTGTATCATATGACAGGATTTCCTTCTTTTTTAAGGCTGAAATAATATTTACTTGCATGTATATACCAAATTTGCTTATCCAATAACCTGTTGTTGGTCATTTAGATTACTTCTACCTCTTGGCTACTGTGAATAATGCTGCAGTGAACACAGGTTTGCAAATGTCTTTAATTCTCTTGGATATATACCCAGAAATGGGATTGGTGGATCATGCAGTACTTCTGTTTTTAATTTTTTAAGGAAACTCCATAGTGTTTTCCATGACAGCTGCACCATTCTGCATTCCCACCAGCAGTTCACAAGGGTTCTAATTTCTGCACATTCTCACCAACACTTGTTGTTTCCTATTTTGTTTTTTTTGTTTTTGGATAATGGCCATCTTAATAGTATGATGTGATATCTAGTTTTGATTTGCATTTCGCTGATGAATAGTGATGCTGAACATCTTTTCATATACTTATTGGTCATTTGTATATCTTTGGAGAAATGTCTATTCGAGTCCTTTTCTCATTTTTAATTGGAGTTTTGTTGTTGTTTTTATTGTTGAGTTGTAGGAGTTCTTTATATATTCTAGACATTAATCCCTTATCAGGTATATAGTTTGCCAATATTTTCTTCCATTCGGTAGATTTCCTTTTCACTCTGTTGATTGCTTCTTTTGCTGTGCAGAAGTTTTAAAGTTTGACATAGTTTGTCTATTTTTGCTTTTGTTGTCTGTGTTTTGGTGTCATATCCAAGATATCATTGCCAAATCCAATTTCATGAAGTTTTCTCCTGTGTTTTCTTCTAGGAGTTTTATAGGTCTTACATTTTTTTATTTATTTGTTTTAAGTTAAGTTAAATTTTTTTATATGGTGTAATATAAGAGTTAAACTTCTTTCTTTTGCATGTGGATATCACCGGATACTAAAATTCATATAGACTCTCAAAGAACCCCAAATAGCCAAAACAATCCTGAGAAATAAGAACAAAGCTAGAGGCCTCACACTTCCTGATTTCAAAACACATTACAAAGCTACAATACTCTAAATAGTATGGTACTGGCATAAAGACATATAGACCAGTGGAAGAATAGAGAGCCTAGAAATAAACCCTGCTTATATGGTCAAATAATTTTCAACAAGGGTACCAAGATTACATGATGGGGAAAGGATAGTCTCTTCAGCAAATAGTGTTGGGAATCTGTTGCACTAAAATGTGCCTGTGGTTAACAATATTATACTGTACATGTGGAAATTGTTGTGAGGGTGCATTTTATGTCATGGTTTTTTGCCACAATAAAAAAAATTTAGTGAACACTCTGAATAGAAGGCTCTACTTCAAGTGAATTCATGGGAAAAGATTGAGACTTAGTAATACAGGCCCTGGAACAAGAAGCACATACTTTCACCAACTAGCTAGAACACTAGAATTTTAGTACTGCTTTACGTTTCTGACAAAAATGCCATTGGGATTTTGATAAAGATTGCTTTGGGTAGTATGAACATTTTAATAATATTAAGTCTTCCAATCCATGAACATAGGATGTCTTTCCACTTATTTGTATCTTCTTTAATTTCTTTCATCAATGTTTAGTAGTTTTCAGTGTACAAGTCTTTTGCCTCCTTGGTAGAGTTTATTCCAAAGTACTTTCCTCTTTTCAATGCTATTCTAAATGGAATTGTTTTCTTAGTTTACTTTTCAGATCGTTCATGGTTAATGTGTAGAAATGCAACTGATTTTTGTGTGTTGATTTTGTATCCTGCAACTTTGCTGAATTTGTTTGTTAGTTCCAAAAGTTTTTTTGTGTGTGTGAAATATTTAGGGTTTTCTACATGTAAGATTGTGTCTTCTGTGAACAGAGATAATTTTATTCTTCCTTTCCAATTCGGATGCTTTTTCTTTCTTTCTTTTTCTTTTTTCCAGTTTGCTCCAGTACTATGTTGAATGGAAGTGGTGAGAGTGGATATTCTTGTCCTGTTCATGATCTTAGAGGAAAAGCTTTCAGTTTTTTACCATTGAGTATAATGTTAACTGTGGGCTTGTCCCATATGGCCTTTATTATGTTGAGGCAATTTCCTTGTATTCTATGTTTGTTGAGTGTTTTTATTATGATAGGGTGTTAACTTTTGTCATATGCTTTTTCTGCATCTATTGAGATGGTCATTCACAAACACATTTCTGTGAAATATTTTGCAGTTTCCCAAAATGTGCCACAAGATTCTTGTCAAGTTGTCTAGCCAGCTCTCTTTTTGCTTTCAGAATCCTCTTTGTGAGGTGGTGATGGGAGGGATCATGTCTCCTCATGCTTGGAGTGAGAACTAAAGATACCTTCCCACTGGGTAGAAACAGAGAGGCCTTCACTCTTTCTGGGTAACCAAATTAAACATTCGGTAGCTGTAGATCAGTGAGTAGGATATACATCTAACACCTCCTTCTTAGATTGACTTTTAATTTAATCCAATTAAGTCAGAAGCAACTTAACTTTTGCAATTCTATTGACTTATACATTCAAATAATATTTTATGTAGCTGTGATTCCACAGTATTTCTTAAGAGGTTTTGCAAACTTTGATAGGACCTGTCATCCACTTCCAAAGAAGCCAACTTTGCTTCTTCATCCACTTCCAAAGAAGCCAACTTTGCTGCTAACATAGAAGGGGAGTGGCAGTTGGGGTGGTGGTATGTAACTCCACATGGACAGACATTGTGTCATTCACACAGAAACATAACTATGCAAAGTGGCTGGTAACCTGATTTTGGTGTGGAAGTTCACAGAGTCATTCTCTGTGTCTTCCTCTTGTCTCTTCTAGTGGGAAGCTGGATCTTCTCCAATCCGGATGGAGTATGCACAGCAGGAAACGCCAATTACCAGTATGCTACTCCTTTGGCTCTATCTGCTCCCCACACCCACCATGGCTGTGAGCACTATTCCGGCCTCCAAGGACACCACCGGCAGGCTCCATACCCTTCTGCGTACATGCACAGAAACCATTCTCCCTCAGGTGTGTGACTCTGCTAATTAAACCCTTGGGGGCGTGGGTGTGGGTGGTGGTGGTGAGAAATGGACAAACAGCTAGAAATGGGGAAATATCTGAAGATAGAATCCCTTTCATCTAATATATGTAAAATTATTGTGTATTAATATTTTAATTTTTTATTTTATATGCTAATAGTTGATTATATAGTTACAACATTATTAGTGTTTTGTAATTACTTCAAATAATTACAAAAACTGGGAGACACCCAGTTTCTAATGGTTGTGAAAGTCCTCCTCCCAGGGCGCTGGAGTACTGAGCAGTTTCAGGCTGCATCTCTAAAAGCCAAGTTAAGTCGTGGGACTCTGAGACCCTCAGCTCATTGCCCTCACATGGCTCTTTTCTACATTTGGAGCGTATGGCTCAGTCCAGGGAATACTGGGCCCAGCATTGGAGAGCTATTAAGAAGGTCTCTGGGAAGGTGGATGACTCAACATCCGGGCTTTGGTCTGATTCAGTTGGAGGCGTGCAAATTCAACCTTGATAATTTTTGCAGTCTGATTATTTTTTAAGCTGATGCTGTTGTTTGTGTAGTTTCTTCCTCATTGACTGCTGCCTTGTCTGCCTTGGCCTTGTGTAAGCCCAGATCTTGCCTGGTTATTAGATTTGTATGAAGGAAGGGAGACATGAAACCAAGGGTTGATTTCTCATTCAGTTATTCATGCAGCAAATATTTATTGAGGGTTGACTATGAGCCAGGTTTTGTCCATGAACAAAATAAATTAATACCGACCTCTCAGAGAGATTCTATTCTCATATGGGGAGACTGACACTAAATGAAACAAATAGGTAAAGTTCATGGCATGGGAGATGGAGGAGAGTGTTAAAGTTCCAGCCTCAGGGACACTCTGAGCTCTGTACCTGCAGAGGGCTTTGCTGGCCACCAGGTACCTGTCCCTGTGCCCCATCGCCTGCTACTCTCGGCAGCCTTGATAGCTGCTGCCAGGAAGGGAGAAAATGTAGGTTAATGTATCAGAAACTGAGCAGGGTCCTCATCTACTTTCTGGTTCTTTCCCATGGTCCGCACACAAAACACATCTTCTGAGCAAATGCTATGCACCAGGCACTCTTCTAGGCAGTGGGGCTAGGAAGGTGATTAAGGTCTAATTTCTTCCCTGAAGGAGCTCAGTGCTACACGAATACATAAATGATTAATCCTAATACAATGTAGTGAGAGCTCTAATGTGGTCCTCGGACCTGCAGCATCTCCTGGGAACTTGTTAGAAATGCAGGCTCTCAGGTTCTCCTTCTGAAAGAGTCTTCAGTTTAACAAGATCCCCAGGTGATTCCTATGCACATTAAAGTTTGAGAAACATTCTATAGAACACACAAGTCAAGGTGCTATGGGAATGAAGGAAAAAGAGCAGCTAGATCTACCCAGACGGCTTAGCGTTTAAGTTGAGATTTGAAGAATAAATAGAAAAGGACAGGGGTGGGAGTGGGCAGGGGTGAAAGAGAGATGACATGGGACACAGGCAGAGGTGAAGGGCATTCCAGGTGAGAGAGTTGTATGAGCAAAGACACAGAAGGAGGAGAGAACCTAGGTCATCTGGGGAATAGTTTGGGAAAAGAGTGTAGAGGGCGGGGGTGGCGAGGTGGTGGATGAAAGAGCTGAAGCTGAGGAAGTTGCAAGGGCCACATCATGAAAAGGAGTGACGTGGCCAGGGATATACATGGAATCCTCTTCCTCTCTTTCCTTTGTCCCCTTCTTCCTCCCCTCCTTCTTTTCCTTCTTCCTCTCTATTGTATAGGCACTATTTATGCAAATGGCGATTCAAAGACAGAAGGCACTATTCTTGAGATGTTTAAATCTCCTTGGGGTTGCTGAGAAGATAGGTCCTGGTCCTCAGAATCTCATCTGGGACACTGGTGATCCTTAGGCTTGTCCTGAGATGATGACATGGCCCATTTTAAAGGGGAGGTGAGTGTGGTGACACGAGCTAGATCTGTGTCGTAAAGAACAGATCCTCCCACCTATCTGAGCCTCATCTATAAAATGGCGATGAGTAGTCATTGTTGTGAACATTAAGAGATGAATGGTACGTGACATATGGCTGACACTGAATTAACCTAAGCTCCTCACTCCTTTCTGTGGCCTTCAGAAAGGACGAACAACTGTTGGCACATGTGGCACAGGCCGTGGTTATATTTTGACCTAGGATAATGTCATTGGTCACCATCTTTATGTTTTCCATGCTCCATCAATTGATCTGTTGTTATTTCCCAAAAGTGAATTTGATAGAAAGCTCCAGCAATAATCTGCAAGTTTTCTCTGGAGCTGACAGCTGGACTTCCTTACCCTCCACACCCCATGCCAGCATCCTGTCTGTACCTCACACCAGCGGACCGATCAATCCAGGGCCTAGGTAAGCCCAACACAAGCAACTTGCTCAATTGGTCTTGAGGGTTGATTTAGCACTGGGGACTCGAGTTCATTCTTTTTCCTGGGGTGGCTTGGTCTAAGCTATTGTCCTGACTTCTAAGCCACAAGGAAGTGAAAGTAACGACAGGATCAACCTTTCATCCCTGGAGAAAGGGTGGTGGGAAAGCACGTGCTCAGTCATGTACTCTTTTCTTTGTAGCTTCCGTATTTTATTTTTAGAAGGGAAAAGATATTATGGCCTGGAATCATTTATCTCGAACCAGGAAGAAATACTGTGAACTGTGGTGGTAGCAGATAGATACCGAATATTGGGAAACTGAAGGGGAAAAGTGTAAATACACACTGAGAATTCAAGACCCTTGATTGTCCATATCCTTACAAGCTGTTCATTCTAACAAGGGGACAGATTTTGGGTGTCTGGGCCTCAACCCAGGCAGTAGGGCTGAGTGCAGCTTGTAGGACCCATGGCATACCTCTCACACCAGAGACCTGCATTCAGTTCTGACTGGAAATCCGCGTGGTGGAGGGGAAAGGGAAGGGGCCTGGGGTCTGACAAATGTGGGCTTGAGCCCCAGTTTTACTCCTTATTGACTTTGTGACTTTGGGCAATTTTCTTAGCCTCACTGAGCTTCAGCTTTCTTATCTGTAACACGGCAATAATGTGAGCTACCCTGTAGAGTATGGTGAGCACCAAAATTAGAAAAAGCATTATAATGCGTTGTAAGCAGTAACATTCTATCAATATATACATGTCAGCTGTTACGTTCAATGTAAGTATGCAGAATTTTGAGAAGGTCCAAAAAGGGATTCAAAATTAAAAGATGTCCCCATCCTTTTTTTTGGCAGTGGAGGGGGCAGATGGTAGATGACTTATGACTTGCAGGTCTAGAAAAAGTTTGGGGAAGGTAGAACTTTGATCCACAGCAGTGCTTCTCACACTTTAATGTGCATTAGAATCACCTGGGATGTTGTTCAACTGTACAGTCCGATTAATAGGTTCGGGTTGAGGCCTGAGATTCTGCATTTTTAACCAGCTTCCAGGTTTAACCAGCTTCCATACAGCTGATGTTGCTGTAAACTGTGATCTTGATTTTGATGTTAATGTTGCTGGGGCCCCCGAGGGTCTAGTGTTGCACTGTTCAATACAGCAGCCCCCAGCCGCCTCTGGCTCTGGACCCTTGAAATGCAGCTGTTCCGAACTGAGATGTGCTGTAAGTGTAACACACAGAATTCTGAAGACTTAGTGCAAAACAAAGAATAAAAATCTCAACAATTTTTTAATACCGAATGCATGTGGAAATGATATTTTGAATATTCTCAGTTACATAAAATATTATTAACAGTAAGTTCATGGTTTTCTTTTCATTCTTTTTCTTTTTAAAATGTGGCTACTCAAAAATTTAGCCTATTGGACAGTGCTTGACAGGAGGACGTCAGGGAAATGTACTGACTGGGACTGTGTAGAAAGTGAGGGAAAGAGTGTCTTTGAAGATATTAAACAACCATGTGCCAAGTTTTGTACTAGATCCTTTATGTAAGTCATTTGTAGGATTCAAAGACATCCATAAGGCTGCTGTTAAAATTCCTATTTTCATGATGGAGAAACTAAAGCTCAGAGGCATTAAAAAACTGCCTGGAGGTCATACAGTAAGTAATGTAACTCAGAGCCCATGGTTTTCCCACCGGCCCAGGAAGCATCAGAAAGGGGCTCTGACCGATGTCGTAGAAGAGTCTCTTCTGGAAACTGGGGAATTGGGGTCAGAATCCCAGCAAGCTGAGCTGGCTAAAAAACAAAAACAAAAACACCAAAACCCCAAAGCTTGGGTTCCTGCAGGTTTCATACGGTCCAGTGAGGTCTGCGGTATCTGAAATATAGCAGCGAGTGCAGGGTGGCATTGCTACCTCTGGCTTCATCAGTGGCATGTTTAACCCACTGCTGATGCTATAAAGGTTTTGCTAGAGAGAAACAAATGTGTTCAGTACTGACATTAGGTAATGAGCCTATTATCAAGCAATACAGTATCAGGCAAAATGGAGACTCTGAAAGGTCAGAGCACGGTGAGGACTAAAGCACTGGAGGTTATTCTGCCTGTGTCACCTGTAGTCATTTTCATCTAGGTTCTATGTGAAGGCACAAAATAGGCTGCACATGACAGTCATCAGAAAAGCTTTAAAAACTTCTGATACCGCATGCCAGACTAATTAGATGAGAATCTCGGGGGATAGAACCCAGGCATCGGTATTTTTTTTTTTTTTTTTAATTTGCTAAGTGATTCCCATGTGCAGTCAAGTTTGTGAACCAGTGACATAGGATAAGAGAAGTCCAAGATAGTGGTACAGCTCCCCAGCCTTTCTACCAGGGACCAGAGCTGACAGGTAGAAACCTGGAATGGAAGAATTAATTATAAGAACCATCATTTACTGAGTCCTATGTGTTAGACATCACATACTCATTTTTTAATTTAATCCTCATAACAACATCTGTAAGGTATGTCTGATTATCACTCCAGATCTTGAGGATGAAGAAACTGAGGCTCATACATTAAATAATTTGATCAAAGTCACAGAGCTAATAAGTGGTAGTGCGAGGGTTCAAACCTAGGTTTTCTGACAACAATGTGTCCTGGCTATTAGGCCACATCACCTCTCTTGGTCAGTGAGGGATCTTACTCACAGATCATACTGCCCAGATATCATCCTTTCACTCCCCTGTCCATTTACACAGGTGGCAAGTGAGACCTAGAGAAATAAAATGCCATGTTCGAAACTGAACAACTTGCTGGAGGTAGGGCCAGCATCAAAATGCGGGTCTCAGGACACCTAATCATATGCCTGTTCTGCACATCTTGCTGCTTCTCTGCAGAAACTGGGCCAGTGTGTGTCAGAGCTAGAAATAACGCCATGGTCCGATGCCCTCTTCCTAGACCTGTGCCCCGCTCAGCACTGCGTGCGTGCTTGCCAGGTGGCAGTCCTTCCTGGGTGTGTCGACAAGCATTTTTTCTCTCTCTCTCTCTCTCTCTCTCTGTTTCTCTGCAGCCCCTACCCGTGCCTGTGGACCATCAGTAACGGTGGCGGGGGCCCTTCCGGGTCGGGCTCAGAGGTGCACGCCGGCTCCCCGGGAGCGTTTCTCCTGGGTAATCCAGCTGTGACTTCGCCCCTCTCCACCCAGGCTCCTGCTTCGGCTGGTGTGGAGGTTCTGGGGGAGCCTTCGCTGACCAGCATCGCTGTGTCTACCTGGACAGCAGTGACCTCGCATCCCTTCTCAGGCTGTGGCAGCCCGGGTCGGGGTGGGCGCCAGTCTCCCTCCTCCCTGGATAGTTAAGCAGGATCCTAGGAAAGTTGTCAGCAGAGAACCTGCTAGGTGTAGAGCTCTTAGAAGTCTCACCTACTAATCCCAGTGAGTCAGACTGCAGAGTCTCCCCACCCAGTGAACGGGGTTATACCAGAAGCCTACAGGGAGATGGTTTAGTTTGGATAATGCTAATTTTGTCACCTGCATCTCTCCACCATTTTCATTTTGCGCTCCCATTTTCTCTGCAACTTATCCGTGCTATGCTTAGGCAACAAAAGTTCGCTGAGTATTTTCCTCGTGCCCTGCCCCTTACTGTCAAGTGATTCTAGAAGGCTGTCCTTCTTGTTCTGTGGAGGTGATGCAAGGCTGTTAAGCGAGCTCAAAATTTACTTAGCCTAAGGCCACTGCTTTGGAGCTTTGTGCAGCCCTGAAAGTATGTGTGGCCACAGAGCCTCTGCTTTGAGACCAAGAAAGGCCGTAAGTCCATGGAGTGAAGTTAACAAAAACAGAGCTAATCACATATTACAGCGTAGAGAGTTGAGGAAATGAGATCATGTCACTCCCTGGTTTAGAAACCTTCGATGGCTCACCATTGCCTACAGATTGAAGTCGATCTCCTCTGCCATCTGCCCTCAAACCACTTTTCCAGCTTTAGCTACCTGTTTTCCCTTTAGCATACTATATTTCAGTAAAGGCATACATTCTGCCCCTGTCTTTTGAACATTCAGTGTACTCTCCCAGCTCTATACCTACTCCTGTACCTGAAATAGCCTTCTCTGTTCAGTCCTACCTGTACGAATCCTGCCCATCTCCCAGGGACTGGCCAGAGCACCACCCACTGCATCAAGCATCTGATCTGCTGGGCTCCCTGACTTCCCACTGGTTTTGCCTCTGTTCTAGAGCTCACCTCAATCTGCCTTGTATTTTTAGTACCTGTGCGTGTGTCTCTCTCCCACTAGACTGTGAGCCCCTCGAGGGTGAGGCCCAGCCTTCTTGTCTCTGTTCCCCATAGCAGCATGTTTCTGTGCCTTGCCTATAGTAGGTGCCCAATAAACACTGGTTGAGTTGAGTGCGTGTGAAGTGCATGTGCTAAATGGACAGTTGTGGAGCTCACTAGGGGGCAGAGCTCAGAGACACGTGTCCCGAGACAGGGCAGCAGGTCAGAGTGGGATCCCGGGGTCATGCTTGGTGTTGCATATGAGATGCAGCCCATTCTCAGTTACTGATGATATAAGGAGTCGGTGTGGACTAGAGCGGTTATTCTCAAACACTGGTCCTTGGATCCCCTGTGCCAGCATCACCTGGAACACCTGTTAGAAACAGATTCCTGGGCGTACTGCATACCTCTTGGGTCAGAATCTTTGGGGCTGGAGTCCAGGAATCTGTGTTTTGTACAAGTGCTCCAGACAATGACCTCAGAGCCAAACTAGGAAACAGCTTGCCTGGAATAGAGAAAGAGAATGATAAATACTCCGGGAACCTCATCAGATAAGAGTTTCAACCTCTGCCCCAGCCTAGGCCATTGCTGTGGCCAGTGAGCAGAATCACGGTTTCATTGGTTTCCCTTTTCCTTTTCTATCCACCACTGCACGTGCTGATCGCCACAGGAGTGAGGTTTCCAGACCTGGGTGATGGGCGGTTCTCCCATCATCAACATCACGCTGCACTGACTGGTGGCCTTCTTGGGTCATCCCTGAGGGAGTCTGAGGGTCCACTCGGGGCCTGGCAATGGCTCAGCTGCTCCCACCACTATTCCATCAGTGGAGCCCATGCAAACCCACGCAGGCCAAGCCTTAGCCTGGGACGTCCTGTTGAGTCTATGGCTCTTTCTGCAGAGAAGGTTCTTTTAACATGTTGTGGTTACCCTGATATTTTGGTGCCATTCCATTTTTGGACCTGGATCTCTAGAAACGACGCCAGTCCCACCACATGGTATCCTGGGAAGCCACTTGACCACACTTAGGGTTGCCTGGCCAGAGCTCTGGGTCCCTAACTGGTGTGTGAGTGACCAAGGCACAATGTACCTACACGACTGCTCTTTGAAAAGCTCCCTGAGGCAGGACTGTTTTTGGTTCCCTGGTCCCTCTGTGATATCATTAGAGGCCATTAAGATATTAATACACTAGCATTTCTGCAAGATGGTATTTTGGTAAATTAGAAGTTTAGGCCTCTTTACCAGTCACTGCAGTGATTGGTCACACACCTAAGTGCTTAGCAAGTACAATTAGGTCTATGAAAACCTACGTTTAGTCTCACCTTCCTGCACCTCCCCCCATCCTGGAGGAGCCAGAAGATGTGGCCCAGAGGCACAGAGCAGAAAGAAGCCAATAACCTCCTTCCTTTCTTCATTTATATTGCTCAGGTGAATTGGGGTCTCTGTGAAGCAATAATGTAAGTGTTAGCTGAGTTTGGGGCAATTATACCTTATCAGTCTTACTGGATGCTCAGCTTGGAACCTGCGATGATTTTTAAACACAACGTGATAGCTGGTTCCACATGGAGGATCTCTATTTGGTGTTAGCCATGCAGCTAGAGTCATATACTTTTGGTGTTTTCTCCAGATTGTCCAGGGCTAATTTCTGATTAATTGCTTACGTCAGTTTAATAAATGATAGAGTCTCTGACATATTAGACAAACTTTGAAGCCTTTTACATCCTTTCCTTACTCATGCACCTTCTTTATCTGACTCAAAAACGGTGCCACTTCAGAGTTTTAGGCGTCTACACCTCTTCTATCACATGACATTTAAAAGAAATTTAAATCCCAGTTGGATAGAAAGAGTTAATACAGTTCCTTTAGCCAGGTGGTAGAGATTTTAACGCTCCTGAAGGACTGGTCTATTTGAAAGTGTCTCCCCTTGTGGGACCTCATGGCATCTCCGTGGCTCTTCCGTGTCCTGCTGAGCCACACTTATCATCAAACACTTCTTCCCACCGGATTTAGGCCAGGAGCTTGCAGCCACTGCTCACTCCCTTCGGCACCTCCTAGGCCTGGGATGGAGGGGTGGGGAGGTGTGATATGAGGAGAGCGAGGATACTAGGTTATTAAGAAAAAAACTCAATAAAAGATCTCTGAAGTCTGGTAGATGTTTGCCACGTTTCCCCAAGACTGGAATAACTTTGGGTGAATAATAGCATCTCACATTTGTGAAGACTATTAGTCCTTGTTTTATGGAGCCATAGGTTATTCAAAGTTGGGGAAGGGCAACTGGGACATTCCAGTGGCACTTGTTTCAACTCCCTCCCTTTTATTTTCTCCACTCATTGGCTCCTGGCCAGGTTGGTAAACAGAATATGGGCATCCGGGAGGAGAGGTCAGGGAAGGTGTATGCAGTGCTGGAAAAGGCATAAGGGAAGAGCCTCTGGGGTCTGAAGATTCCAAACCCTTCCCATTACCGTCGCTGTAGAGACAGCCACGATGTCTGCCACGTACTCCAACCTTCTGGGTACAAATTCCCACACCCCCTCCCACGCACTTGGGGGAACTACCTCCCCTCCACCTGCTCTCTACATCTGCAGTGGGGGCTGCCATGCCCATACTCCATCCTGCCGAGCTGGTTGGGTTGGAGGGACTCGCTGCCAGAGTCCCATCTGCTATGGGACGAACAAGCCACCCAACACGGGCAAACACGCACAGGCTCATTAATTCCAAGCTTCACTACGTTACAGGCTATGTTAGGCCTGTGAAGATGCTTTAAAAATGGAAAAAGTGGAGCTTGCATTTATCGTAAACAAAATGGAATTGGAAATACCTGTTAAGGCCAGGGGTTAAAAGTTGTGGCAATTAGCAAGCTTCGTTAGTACATGTGACTAGTCTCGCCTAGAAAAGGGACTGAGATGCTCCTTTTAAGTGAAGTTTCTCCCATTGGGGCATCCGACACATGGTTTCTGCAGATCTGTACTGGCTGGATTCTGTGCTAAGCACTAGTTACACAGCTACTTGGGCAAATGCACCTCTTTCTTGTTGACTAGTGGAGATCACCTCCGTGATGTGGCTGGGTCCTAGTGTGTGTGTTCTGATCACCTCCGTCTGCAGGTCAGCGTGTCTGTTTGGCAGCACCACCGACATCTTGGTTCTCAGGCTGTGGTTAGGATCTTGGATCATGATTACAAAAATACACAAGGGGCTGCAAGGAAAGCCACTGTTACCAAAGTGAACCCAGATCCTCCTCAGCTGGCAATGGAGGGAGAATATTCTGTGAGAGGGGCAGTTAGATTTTGCAGCTTCTAGATTCCTGGGGAATCTCTCAAATCACTACAGTCTCCACTGCAAAGGGCTCTATCACTGCCTCAGCTGTGGACCCATGATCACCCCACTTGGATGCACCAGCCAGGTTGTACTGTCTTTTTTTCTAGGGGCTTATAGAGGGAAACTCGATAACAGAAAGGATTACATTATATACATCTGCATAACTTGGTTTTCAAGTTAATCATCTTCTATTTACTAGCGTCGATTTTAACATTTTTATTTGTATTGAGATGGACATATATGATAGGAAGCCCACAAATCTTAATGTTTAAAGCTTGATGAATATTTACATATGTACATACTTGTAAAACTCCTAATAAGATCAAAATATAGAATATTTCCAGCACCCTAGAGGGCTCCATGTGCCCCTTCCCAGGCAATACTCGCCCCCAAGATAAATACTACTCTGACCACCATCACCGCATGTTAGTTTAACCTGTTCTTGACCTTCATATAAATGGACTCAGATAGTAGGAACTCTGTCTCTGGCATCCTGTCTACCTCCCATCTAGCCCTCCATTCAGATCATCTTTTCAGCTTTTAGTAGAAATACTCTCAGTATATTAATTCGATTCTTTGATGTTCAAACCAAGAGACTGATGCCCAGAAAAACGTAGGAGTTTCTTTTCTGAGGTTCCCCACCTTCTCTCTGGATGACTGGTAGAGGCAATGTCTACCTTCTTGTAGTAGATTCTCACTTTTCCCCCACCTCCACAAGACACTTACACCAGAATGCAGCATAGTAAATTCAGCCTCTGAACACTTCGAGCAGTTAAAGGACTGTTTTGTTCCAAGGACTTTAGAAAGCGTTGATTGCTGTCCGTTCAGTTTGGGGATGACAAAACACTGGTTTAACATTATCCATGAATGGAGTAGGTCACAGTGTATGCAACAGGATTTGAAAGGCACTGACTTAGGATCCCCTAAGAGTTTATCTCCTGGCGCCTGACCTACCCCAACTTATTTTTCCAGTTTGTGTTTCTTTTGGATTGAGACAAGAAAAATCATTTTACTGTGTAAATATTATCTGTGAAGAATAGCTGTTTGACTTGTTTGTTGCCTACATTACCACAGGCAATATAAATTATCAAATTATTTAGCTAGTAATTGAGTTCCTGAGAGAAGGACATCAGAGGTAAGTTTTATTGAGGTGAAGAGATTATTACTATTTAAAAAAAAATTCTCTCATTGAAGTATAGTTGATTTACAATGTTGTGTTAGTTTCTGCTGTACAGCAAAGTGATTCAGTTATACACGTACATACATACTTTTTCATATTCTTTTCCATTTTGGTTGATCACAGGTTATTGAATGCAGTTCCCTATGCTAATACAATCAGACCTTGTTGTTTATCCATTCTATATATAATAGTTTGCATCTGCTAACCCCAAACTCCCAATCTTTTCCTCCCCCACGCCCCCTCCTCCTTGGCAACCACAAGTCTGTTCTCTATGTCTGTGAGTCTGGTTCTGTTTCGTAGAGAAGTTCATTTGTGTTCTATTTTAGATTCTACATATAAGTGATATCGTATGGTATTTGTCTGTCTCTTTCTGACTTACTGAGGTGAAGAGACTACTGATGACCGCATAAAAAGTCGCTGATGTCAGCCAAGAGATGATAAGAAAGCATAGAGTATATGCGGCAGGGCAGAGTGAGGAGAAAATCAGCAGATATGGAAGGCATTTTATAGCAATCATTTTTTTTCAAAAACCCACTGCTTCTCACTCCTCTGCAGTGGTGGTGATGGCAGAGAGGAGCTGGTAAGTGAGCAGGTAGCCAACTCCTAATTTCTAAATTACTGTCAAGACCCACCAAATACCTGGAATTGGATTGGGAGCAATAGGCTGCCTTTGACACTGCAGCTCCGTAGGGCTTTTGGCATTGACAGGTAGGTGTCTGGGCCTGTGCAGAAG